CAAATTTGGGGAAAAAAAAATCCCAAAAATTCCAGGGGAAAAGTCCCAAAAATTGGCTGCAAAAATCCCAAAAACGTGAAGCAAAAAATCCCAAAATTTAGAAGAAAAAAGTTCTCCAGAACTGCAGAAAATTTGAAGGAAAAATCCCCAAAAATTAAAGGAAAAATTCACAAAATTTGGAGGAAAAAATTCCAAAATTTGGGGAAAAAATCCTCGCAATTTGAGGGAAAACGCCCAAAATTTAGAGGGAAAAAACCCAAAAAAAAATCCCAAAATTTAGAAGAAAAAAGTTCTCCAGAACTGCAGAAAATTTGAAGGAAAAATCCCCAAAAATTAAAGGAAAAATTCACAAAATTTGGAGGAAAAAATTCCAAAATTTGGGGAAAAAATCCTCGCAATTTGAGGGAAAACCCCCAAAATTTAGAGGGAAAAAACCCAAAAAATTCAGGGGAAAAGTCACAGAATTTGGAAGAAAAAATTCCAGAATTTGGAGGGAAAAATCCTAAAAAATTGAGGGGGAAAGTCACAAAATTTAGCGGGAAAAAATCCCAAAAATGAGGGAAAAAATCCCAAAAAATTGAGGGAAAATCCCCAAAAATTTGAGAGGAAAAGGCGCAAAATTTGGAGGAAAAAAATCCAAAATTTTAGGAAGGAAAGCCTCAAAATCTGGTGGGAATCTTCCGAAATTTGGCAAAAAAAATCCTTTAAAAATTATAAAAAATAATCTCAAAATTTGGGACGAAACCCCCCAAAATTTACTTTTGAGAATTCCCAAAATTTTGTTGAAAATCCAAAAAAAAAGTGGGGAAAAAAATCCCAAAATTTGGCTGAAAATGCCCCAAAATTTGGGACCAAAAAATCCCCAAAATTTGGGATAAAATTCCCCAAATTTGGGGTCGATCCCCCCCCCGGTGTGAGAGAGTGTGCATGTAAATGAGCCGTATGCAAATGAGCCGTATGCAAATGAGTGTTATTTAAAAGAGCAATATGTAAATGAGAAAAGAGGACAAGACCTCAACAGCACTTTATGCAAATGAGGGGGCGTGGCAATACGAATGAGGGTGATATGCAAATGAGGTGGGTGTAAATATATGTAAATGAGGTGATATGCAAATGGAGTTGTTGCCATGTTGATATGCAAATGAGGTGGAGATGGGAGTTGTGCCTGCGGGTTAATAATATGTAAATGAGCTGTACATAAACAAGCGTTATGCAAATGAGCACTGACACAGCCGCACAAATGCACATCTCACTTAACTGCGATATGCAAATGAACCTGCAAATGAGGCGGGGCATGCAAATGAGCACCGAGCACCGTATGCAAATGAGCACCGCCGTGTCAACACATCGCTGTATGCAAATGAGCGCCCGTATGCAAATGAGTGCCATAAATAACGGAATAATTGTGCCAAGCCCCGATATGTAAATGAACATGCAAATGAACATGCAAATGAGCTGGAGTGCTGTGCCTCGACTCCTTGGTGTGGGAGGGTCGGCGATATGCAAATGAGCGTTATGCTAATGAGGGATATGCAAATGGGAACCTGAGGGGAAGCGTGCTATGCAAATGAGGCGCTTCCTGGTTTCGATGACGTCATCACGGGGCCCGATGACGTCATGGGGGGTGGGGAGGGGAATTTGGGGCAGAATTCCCAAATTTGGGCATCGATGACGTCACTGGGGGGGATTCGGGGATGAAATTCCCGAATTTTGGGGTTCCGGGATCGTTTTGGGGGCAAATTCCCAAATTTTGGGGCTCCGTTCCCAAATTTGGAGGTTCTGGGACCAAATTTTGGGACTTAGGGGCAGATTTGGAGCCAAATTCCCAAATTTTGGGGCCCGATTCCCGGATTTTGGGCTCCATTCCCAAATTCTGGGGCTCAGGTCGCAATTTTTCAGCTCAGTTCCCAAATTTTGGCAACAAATTCCCAAATTTTGGGGTCCAGATCCCAAATTTGGGGGTTCTGGGCCCAAATTTTGGGGTCCATTTCCCGAATTTTGGGGTTCCTGGGCTGATTTTGG